ATGTTTCACTCCTGGACATCTGTGATGGCCATTCACACACATGCACCAAAAAAATGCTTGAATGGGTATAAAATACATCTAGAAAGGTACCCACGATATTTTTTTTTTTTTTCCCCACGGTATTATTAACAGCAGCTGGCTCTGGGGAGAGCAGCTGGGGCAGGAAAAACTATTTCCTACTGTATACCTGTTTGCACTGGTTGAACTTTTAAAACTATGTCTATAGTGGGGAATGATGGACCAGTAGGTAAATTTTCACCCACTTAAATTTTTAATTTTCATTCTTCATTATATATGCATATGATGTAAAGAATTAGGTTGTTCCATAAGGCTGTTACCAATAAAGGCAATAGGTTGGAAGCATTGGAGCTTTAGCAACAGTCCTCCCAATGACTGTGCAGAGTTGATTTCCTTTAGGACTAACTGGTTTGATCTCCTTGCTGTCCAAGGGACTATCGAGTCTTTTCTAGCACCACAATTCAAAGGCTTCAGTTCTTCGGCGCTCAGCCTTCTTTATGGTCGAGCTCTCACACCTGTACATGACTCTTGGGAAAACCATTGCTTTGACTATACTGAGAGGAGAGGTCAGATTGGAGATGGGGCATATCCATTGTGGTTATGAGTTACTGTACTCTGACCTCCTCTCTCTGTCACAGAGTTCTCTGGCCCAGGCAACTACTGCCACTCCCGAGCTGCCTTCGGAGACCCAGGAGACCCCAGGCCCCACCCTGTGCAGGTGACACCCCTCCCCTGGCCCCACCCACCACCCCTGCCCACTGTCCCTTCCTTCCCACCAGTCCCGTCTTTCTGCAGCCCTCTGAGGAAGTCACCCCTGACCCTCGAGGATTTCAAGTTCCTGGCAGTGCTGGGCCGGGGTCACTTTGGGAAGGTGAGGTATGGGGGGGTAAGGAGTAGAGGGGCTGGGGGGTCCAGACCCCCCAGGTCCTTGAACTGGCCACTAAGGCTACCCCGGTGACCACTGTGGTTTCAGGTGCTGCTCTCCGAATTCCGGCCCAGCGGGGAGCTGTTCGCCATCAAGGCTTTGAAGAAAGGGGACATTGTGGCCCGAGACGAGGTGGAGAGGTGGGGAGCCTGCTCATACCCTCTGAGAGCTTCAGTCTTCTCTTCTGGGAAGTGGGAGATGGAGCACTCCCTCCTGGGAGTTGCTGTGAGAATAATTCATAACAATCATTCCTACTTGCTAAGCTAGTTGTCGTTGAGTTGCTAAGTCGTGTCTGACTCTTTTGTGACCCCGTGTAGCTCAGCAGGCTCCTCTGTCCGTGGGATTTCCCAGGCAAGAATACTGGAGTGGGTTGCCATTTCCTTCTCCAGGGAATCTTCCCGACCCAGGGATCAAACCCAGGTCTCTTGCATCGCAGGTAGTCTCTTGCATTGCAGGCATATTCTTTTACCTACTGAGCCGCCAGTATTTAATGACTCTTAGCAAGCACCCATCATGTCCTTTACATTCAGTAGGTCGTTACTCACAACAGCTCTAAGAGGTCAACCCTGTTATAGTCCCAGTTCTGCTGATGGAAGAGAGAGATTGAGCAAATTGCCCAGGGTCCCATAGCCAGTAAGCAGCAGGTCTGGGATTTGAACTTAGGGACTCAGGTTCTGAAGCCTGTGCGATTAATGGAGCCATGTACTGCCTCTGCTTTGGATTCAGGACCCTGAGTTCAAATCCTGCCTCTGCTACAGATGTGCATAGAAACCTTAGAGTGGTCACTTTACCCTCTGAACCTCAGCCTCCCTATCTGTAAAAGGGGAGTAATAATTCCTTTCTTGCAGGGTTGCTGGATGGATTGAATGGGAGTATGCCTCTAGATAATTCTGCAGACTGCCTTGCACCCTGTAAATGCCCAGTAGAGGCACTGAGATAGTCCATCTTCTTGACATCCTTTTATTAACCAAGAATTCAGCTTAGACAGGCTTAAGCAAATAGAGGAATTTATTGCTCTGGATCAGAAAAGTCCAGGGGTGGACTGCCTTCAGGCAGCACCTGTATCCAGGTGCTCAGTTGACGTCTCTCACTTCTGCTTATATCTGTGTGGGCTTTGCCTGTACTCGCCTCATAGGGTCAGAGATATCTCCTACTTTAGCCCTTTTTTTTTTACTTTTTTTTTTTTTAACTTTAGCACTTTAAGGTTCATCTGCCAGCTTTGGCCCTTCTCTCTTATTCATTCCAGCAGAAATCTTGAGTTTGAATCCATTGGCTTGGCTTGCCCATTCATGAACCAATTCCTGCCCTGGGAGATGGGGTGCTCTGAAGGGAAGTAACAGTTCCTCTGGCAGTTTCCCAAAAGGAAGTCAGGGGACTGTTACTAGGACAATGGATGGATTCTGGGTACCTCTTGAGCAGGTTCAGAAGCATTAAGCAACTTGCCCAAGTGTGCACAGCCATTCAAGGCCCTTGAGCAAACATCTGATGATTGAGGACTCTAGGGAACGACGGGAGTCAGGGGTGGTGAGCTGCTGCGTTCTCTGACCCCACTCCCCTGCCCCGCCCTGCTCAGCCTGATGTGTGAGAAACGGATCTTGGCAGCTGTGACCAACGCGGGACACCCCTTTCTGGTGAACCTGTTTGGCTGTTTCCAGACACCAGAGCATGTGTGCTTCGTGATGGAGTACTCAGCCGGCGGGGACCTGATGCTGCATATCCACAGTGATGTGTTCTCGGAGCCCCGTGCTGTGTGAGCCTGGCACCCTGCCTCCCAACACCTCCTGGAGTTACGGGCGACTGTGGGGGGCTTTTGACGATGTGGGAGCCTTCTGTGACCCTCCTATCTTGTCTGGAGACCGGCTCCTTCATACTAGCCTCTCTCTGCAGCTTTTATTCGGCCTGTGTGGTGCTGGGGCTGCAGTTTCTCCATGAACACAAGATTGTCTACAGGTGTGTGTGCATGTGTGTGCGCGCACGCGTGCGCGTTCACGCCTATGGGCTTGTGCATACATGCACATACCCGCTCTGCCCACTGGGGGGCCCTCAGGCTTCAGGCAGAACCCACGTCCCCACTCATCCCTCCTTACATTCTTCCACCCCCTCTCACAGGGACCTGAAATTGGACAATTTGCTTCTGGACACCGAGGGCTATGTCAAGATTGCAGACTTTGGCCTCTGCAAGGAGGGTGAGGGGGTGGGGATTCAGATCTAAGGGGCTGACCTCTGGGGTTCAGACAGAGAGGGGAGGGAATGGAGTCCCCCATCCCCACCTGGGTTACCCCTACCAGGTTCCTAGGGCTGGCTGTCTAGGCCACCCCATGCTGGGCTGGGCTAGAGCTGTGACCTCCCCCATTAACTCACGTGGCCTTGCTCCCCCCCCCCCCCCAGGGATGGGCTATGGGGACCGGACCAGCACTTTCTGCGGGACCCCAGAGTTCCTGGCGCCCGAGGTGCTGACAGACACATCGTACACTCGGGCGGTGGACTGGTGGGGACTGGGCGTGTTGCTCTATGAGATGCTGGTTGGTGAGGTGAGATCCCAGGTGTCTCCACCCTGCCTGTCCCTGGTAACTTACATGTGTGCTGGTGAGGTGGGAGGGTTGTTTAATCACTAAGTCATGCCCAACTCTGTGACACTGTGGACTGTAGCCTGCCAAGCTCCTCTGCCCATGGGATTTTCCAGGCAAGAACACTAGAGTGGGTTGCCATTTCCTTTTCCAGGGAATCTTCCTGACCCAGAGATCAAACCTGCGTCTCCTGTATTGGCAGGCGGGTTCTTTGCTGCTGATCCAGTAGGGTAGCCAGTAGGGGGAGGGTGTCAGATTCATCTTCCACTATGTGCTGTCTGATTGAGGACAGGTAACTCTGCCTCCTTGGCCTCAGTTTCTGCATCTGTAAATTGGGGGCCTTCCCCTCCCAAGTGAGCCGTGTCAGAGTACCGCTGGAGCCCTGGGTGGATGGAACCGGGTGCGGTGTGGTCAGAGGGGCCTAACCCCCAAGCTCTCCTTGTCCCAGTCCCCATTCCCAGGGGACGATGAGGAGGAGGTATTTGACAGCATCGTCAACGATGAGGTTCGCTACCCCCGCTTCCTGTCAGCTGAAGCCATTGGCATCATGCGCAGGGTAAGGACTCCCACCCAACTCGGGGTGAGCCAGGGGAAGTGACCCTGGGGCTGGGAAGGGGAACGCTGACTCGGAACACCCTCCACCCAGCTGCTGCGGCGGAATCCAGAGCGGAGGCTGGGATCCAGCGAGAGGGATGCTGAGGATGTGAAAAAACAGCCTTTCTTCAGGGTGAAGTCTCCCACCCCCAGGACCCATTCCCTCATGTCCAAGACCTAGTGGCTTCACTTCCAACGTTGTTACCTCCCCTCAACACCCACCTGCCTTTGCTTCCTCCCATTCACCCCCACTGACCTTCCTGCACCCAGCCAAGTTAACTGCAGCCTGGCCTGTTGGGGAGCATTGCTGTGTATGTGCCCAGCCGCCCCCCGCCCCGCCCCCGCCATACACTCATACCGTAATCCTTCCTGAGCTCCCAGCATGCCGCCCCTCACCTCTGTCGTGTGACTCTATGTTGATTCTCAAAGAACCAGACTCAGACAGGTCGCAAGGAGCAGACCTTACTGCGGTCTGTCCCGAGCCTCCCCCGGTGACCTCTCCCTTCCTCGCCCTGCAGACCCTGGGCTGGGATGCCCTGCTGGCCCGGCGCCTGCCGCCGCCTTTCGTACCCACGCTGGCCGGCCGCACTGATGTCAGCAACTTCGACGAGGAATTCACAGGGGAGGCCCCCACGCTGAGCCCACCCCGCGACGCACGGCCCCTCACGGCCACAGAACAGGCGGCCTTCCGGGACTTCGACTTTGTGGCCGGGAGCTGCTAGCCCCCTCCCCCCGCCCCTGCCGTCACCGAGCTGTTAGTAGTTTTTAAAAAGGCCTTTGGGGTTTGCCCCGCCCATGCATCCTCCGTTTCTTTTTGCGCACAGTGATGATGGGGGCGGGGAGGAGTGCTTGGAGGTGGGAAGAGTTGGGAAGGGAAGCAAAGGGTGACTGGCGGCGTAGGGAGTGATGGGGAGATGCCCTGGATTATGGTGGGGAATCATATGAGGAGGGGACAAGGGGTGGTGGAGACTCAGGCCTGTGACTGGTGGAGAGCCTAGGTGGGCTGCCATGGAAGCTGTGTAGAGGAATCAGAGGCCCGTAATGGAGCGTGGCTTGTGGGTAGGGACTTGGGGGTTGTGTTGGGGGCGGTCAGAGCCACAATGAGCGAATGGTTGTGGGAGTCATTCCTGATGGCGGCAGGGGCGACTAGCGCCCCCAAACCCTCTTGCTCTGCTCCCAGCGGAGCCCCCGACCCGGGACTGTGACCCTGGAGTTTTGCGCATGCTCCGGCAACTCCCGCTCTGCTGCTCTACGCCCCCGCGTGGCAAGTTCAAGAACTGCACGCCCCGGAGGCGCACACAGCGCCTATGCCGCCTCCGCGCAGCCACTAGGGTGCTGCAACCCGGACGGGACCCACCGCCCTGGGCTTGTCCGCAAAAAGCTTTCATTCCCAGAAGGCTCTGCGCTGCGGACCTGAGGCCGGTCCCGGGTGGCCTGGCTTAGACGCCAGGCGTGCCTAAAAAGAGCTGAGGCCACTATGCCGAGAACTGCGCAGCGAGCTGGCCTCCCAAGTGCTCCTGGTTAGGCCCAGACCCGCATGGCTGCCCTTGGCGCCAGCCCTTGAAGGCAGCAGGCGAAGCAGTTGGCGAAGCACTGCCTGGCGCAGCAAGATGTACACCCAGGGGTCCAGAATCTGGTTCCACGAGGCGAGGCGCACGGCCAAAAACAGCGGCTGCTGCAGGGAGCTGGAGCCCCAGCCTGCGACGGCCAGCACCACCACCACCTGCGGGAAAAGGTGGTGTGAGCGGTGGAGCGGTGTAAGAAAAGGAGTCTGGGGAAGGGTAGGGCTGGGATGTGTGGGAGCGTGCCGGGGAAGTAAGGGGGCTGTGAGAAGGAACGCAATGTAAAAGTAAGTGGGAGTCTAATTGGGAAGGAGCTGTGGAGGGGGGCGGGGAAAGCGGGGCCTCACAGAGCACGGCAGAAGCAAAGGCTTCATTGGGTGTGCGCTCAGGCGAGAAGTCCCAGATATGCCAAAGGACAGAGTGTTGAAGAAGAGGTTTCCCTGGTGGCTCAGTGGTAAAGAATCTGCTTGCCAATGCAGGAGACACGGGCTCGATCCCTAGTCTGGAAAGATTTCCCACATTGCCAGCTGGGAGGCTAAGCCAGAGCACCACAACTGCTGAGCCTGTGCTCTGGAGCCTGGAAGCTGCAATTACTGAGCCCACATGCCTCTAGTACTGAAGCCCATACATCCTAGAGCCCGTACCGGGCAGTAAGACATTGAGCAAAAGAGAAGCCCGCGCACCACAACGAGAGAAAAAGCCCGAGAAGCAACTAACACCTAGCACAGCCAAAAATAAAATTATAGTGGAAAAAAAGAAAAGGGGTGGTGATGCTAGAAGGGAGCTAGGGAGTGAAGGCACTTGGGAGGCGGGGAGTTGGAAGGGGAGGCTTGCCTGGATTTGGTGAACTATACAGACCCCAGAAGGAGTAAGACAAGGGGCCAGAAAGAGTGGGACGTCAGAGGGAGAGAGCAAAGGGTGGGCTCTGGCAGGTGGGGGCCTCAAGAGGGCAGAGCCCTGGCTGGGCCAGGGAGAAAGGACTCAGGAATGGAAAAAGGTGGGAGGGGTCACGGAGGGCGTGGGAAGGAGCAGGGTTGGAGTGGACCTGTGCGCCCCTCACCAGCAGGGGACTCCAGCAGATACACGACACGACCATGATGCCTGCGAGCTGGCCCACCATCTCCACGTCGTGGGCGCGGGCTCTGCGCGAGGAACCACGGCCCGGAGAGCCGCCCGGGGAGGCGGAGGCCGAAGTGACGGACGAGGCGGACGAAGCGGAGGCCGAGCGGGTTCCGCGCCCTCCCCAGTGACGGCGGCTGTCGGGGCCTCCTCCGGCTGGGAAGTGCTGTCGATAGCGGCGCCGCCGCCAACGGGCGCGCAGCAGGGCCAGGCCGCTGAGCGTGTTGCACAGGAGCGCGGCGAGCAACGAAGCCAAGCCGAGGCCGGCGAAGAGGCCGGCGAGCAGCGCCTGGCGCCAGCCTCCCGCCGGGCCCAGCCCGATGAAGCACCACGTGCCGGGGTACTGCAGCTCATAGCGACCTACGCGCGCCAGCGGCAGCAGCGCCACGGCCAAGGCCACGGCGGCCAGCGCTGCCAGAGCCAGCCGCGCACGGGCCACCGAGACGCGGGCTGCGTGCAACAGCGGCCGCGTGACGCCCACGCAGCGCTCCACGGCCATGCCGCAGCCCAGCAGTAGCGGGCACAGGCCGAAGAAGACCATGCAGCCGCCCAGGAAGTGGCAGGCGCTGCCGGCAGGCGCGCGCCCCGCCGCGTACAGGCGCAGCACCAGCGCCCCCGGGATCACGTGGCCCGCCAGGTCGGTGGCCAGCAGGCTGGCGACGAACAGCAGGAAGGTGGCTGCTGAGCGGCGGCGCCGCAGACGGCCCGCGGCCTGCGCCAGAAGCCCCAGGGCCAGCACATTGGACACGGCCCCCAGTGTCATGGAGAAGATGGGCAGCGCGGGCGATGCGCCCGCCAGGCCCAACGGTGGTCCAGCGGACGTGTTGGGGGGCCCGTGTGCCGTGCACGTGGTCGCCTCGCCCGCCAGGCTCAGGTTGAGGGGCCCGCAGGGGCTCATGTCAGGTGCTGCGGGTGGGGCTGGGAAGAGGAGAGGAGGGGAAGGTGAAGTCCCGCAGTTGGCCTGGGACCAGCTGGTTTTCCCTTCCCACATCATCCCGACCCATTTGACTTCACAGAGTTCTCTTACCCATGGCAACTCTAAATGACTCTGGCTGTCCCATGCCTGATCCAGTTCTCCTCAGCTGCCCCTAATCAGCCGATCTCTCGCTCCCGGCCCCAGTCGGCCCTCACTGCACACCTCCCCTGATCATCAGGGCTCACCTGGCTTCAATCCACCTGTCTCCAACCCCACTTCTGAGCCTTACCCACCCACCTGACACCCACCTTCCATTTTGGCACGACCACACATTCCTGGGCCCTCAGCCCTCTCTGATAACCATTAACCCATTTCTGATCCCAGGGCCCCACCTGACCTCACTGCCCCATCTCTGACCATCACCATGTCCCCTTTACTTCGGTCCCACCCTACATGCTCACAGCCCCACCTCTCCCACCATGGACACCACACTTTCCCCCGGGCCATATCCCTGTTCCCTCAATCGCCGTCTTTCTCCTTATAGCCCCATTTCTGTCCTCAAAGCCACATCTCTGTGCCCACAGACCCATCCCCTGGGCACCTCTGGCCTGTCCACAGAGCCTCAGCCCTGTGCCCCACACTGCCATCCCTGAGCTCCCCCTGGATGCCCAGTTTCCTCCTGCTGGCTCCCCATCCCCTGCCCCAGAGGCCTCAAGGCTGACCCATCACTATCCATTCCTTGATACCCCCTGGTGAGGGCTGAGAGGGCAGAACTGCTAGGTCTTCTGGAAAAAGAGGCTGGACAGAGGATAAGATCAACTGGGACAGACAGATGGGCTGAGAGTCAAAGAACACACGAAGCACAGGCTGCGGGAGCCCCATCCTTCCACGCCTGCCTCCCCCACTGACGGTCCTTGGCCCAAGCCTTCTTACCCGGTGCTGCCTCGGACGCAGGGTCCCCATTGCCTGCCGCCTGGCCCCTGCCGCCCCGCTGCGCCGCTGCACCCCAGCCTGCTGCGGCCGAGCTCTCCGGCAGGCCGCTCCCTCCCCCTCCCTCCCTCCTGGGGCGGCTCCTCCACTCCCTGCCTCCTCCAGCTGCCCACTCCAGCCTCCAGGGGCCGTTCCACTGGGTGTATGCCTTCAGGGCACCTGGGTTGGCAGGGACCACCCCTGCCCCCCCACCCCCGCACTCCTGGCATTGGTCCGGGACCACTCCCAGACCTTAGCTCCCCTCACGAGGAAGTGGGGGCCTCCAGGAAGTTGGCCTGTCCTCCCTGCCCCGTGACCCTCTTCCCCTGGTGGGACGGGAGCAGCCCCCTTCCCCGCCCCCCAGGCGTGGGCCTCTTGCCTGCCTCATTAATAAAGTGGATAAAATCTAAACACTGGAAAATGTGAGTGTCGCCCAGGGCAGGCGGGGGCGGCTTAGGGGGGGCGCCGCTACCCCCACCAGGGCTGCGAGGTGGGAGAGCGAGCCCTGAGTGGGGCCAGCGGCAGCCTCTTGCCCTGCCAGAGCCTTCCTGGATGCTGGGTGGGTGGTGGTGGGCAGAGCCTTGGGTGGACCAGCTTGGATCAGGCCCAGCCGGCCTAGGAGGCCTAGGAGATCCGCCCATTATTTACACAGGGGCTTAAAGCCCAGGCATACAGCCAGTCATCCCCCAGGAAGGGAGAGGGAGGAGGCTGAAGCAGGGCAGGGGGACCAGGAGGTGTAACCGGTAGGCGGTCTCCTAGATCCTGCTTTAGGACGTGGTCCCAAGTCACACACAGCCACAGCTGTGGACACACAGCTGCATCCTCACCTCCTGCCCCAAGAAATAGAATCACACCCCTGAGAATCACACACACACACATGGTCTCACACCCAAACATACACAATTGTATCCCTTAACATTCCAAGACCTCGCCACCATCATGGCCTGTTTCCAGCCCAGCAGCAGCCACATTCCTCAGACCCTTGGCATCAGCCACCGTCACCCTGAGACAGTGTCACCCCCAACACCAGACCCCCATAGTCACAGACTCCAACAGCCTGAAATACAGGCCCCTGTGAAAGGGACCATCACACCCCTTGTTGTTCCTGAGTCACTAAGTTGTGTCTGACTCTTTTGCAACTCCATGGACTGTAGCCCGCCAGGCTCCTCTGTCCATGGGATTTCCCAGGCAAGAATACCGGAGTGGGTTGCCATTTCTTTCTCCATGGCATCTTCCAGACCCAGGGATCGAACCCCCATCTCCTATGTTGGAAGTGGATTCTTTACTGAGCCACCTGGGAAGTCCATCACACCCGTTAGTGCCATCAAATAGTCTCACCCTGCACCTTGAGCAGTGCACACAACCGCTAACACTGACAGAGCCCCCCAGCAACACCCCAAATCACCCAGAGATACCCCCTAACAGTCCAAGACAGGCCCCACAGGTACACACTGCATGTGCCTGAGACACAAGGAGTGGTAATCCCCTAGTTACCCCAAGATCTAGTCAGTCACACCCCTAGGAACAGCAACACCCAGAGAAACCCACTTATGGCACTGGACACCCCAAGATGCGGTCACACAGCCACACTCCACACAGAAGCCCTGCCAGTTACAAACACCCTGGAACGTAAACACAGCTGTCATACCTTATTCCCTCAACACAGTCACAAACCACCAACACCAAGAGAGACGTCCTACCCCTCTCAACACCCAGACTCACAGCCTCACCCCTTCACAACCTGAGCGATTAACACAGACACACAAAGTGCCCACAGGTGCCCAGGGAATCCTGGAGCAACCCCTGTCCCCACGCCCCAGGTGCCCACAGGTGCCCAGGGAATCCTGGAGCAACCCCTGTCCCCACGCCCCCCTCCCAGGACCCACTGCCTGCATGTGGGAAATGGGGAGCGAACAGGCTCACACCTTGCCTCTCAGCTCATCCTCAAACATTCCTGTGGGGACCTCTGGCTGGGTTCCCCTTGCTTCAATCCTTGATCTTCCCTCCAGGTCTGGCGAGGGTCCCACCCCCGCCTGCCCTGGTCCCCCCTCAATCCTCAAGGATGAAGTGGGTTGTCAAAACAAGCACTCCAAAAAAAAAAAAAAGCACTCCAGGTTTATTACATCCAGCACAGAAGTATGGTGTGCCCTGGACGCTGACAGACCCCACACATCCAGAGTCAGCCTGGGTGGAGTTGGGGGGTAGGGTGGGTGAGGGTGCATCGTGACTGCTCCCCCACCAACGTCGAGCCTTGGGGTGGGTTCCTCCCCATCGGCACTGACTGGGCCAGGCTGAGACCCCATCTTCAGCCTACCTCATCTTTCTTTCTCCATGCCTTCTGGCCCAGACAGCAAAGAATCTACCTGCAATGCAGAAGACTGGGGTTTGATCCTTGGGTCAGCAGCCCACTCCAGTATTCCTGCCTGGGAATTCCATGGGCTGAGGAGCCTGGTGGGCTATACAGTCCATGGGGTCGCAACGAGTCAGACAGGACTGAGCGAGTAACACTTTCACTTTCTGGCCTGGGGGCTCTCGGGGCCACTGGGTCGGAACAAAGGGCCCGCAGCCTCTTGCCCACTGTTCTCATCAGGCCAGAGGGTGGCAGGAAGCTTTGTTTGAAAGGGAGCAAGATTTGCACCCTGAGTAGGCGAAGAAGCTCTGGCCTTGCCTGGAAGCCTGGTGGCTTGCAGCCAAGAGCCTCATCAGGCTGAACGGATGGGAGGGGGCGGGTGGCTGGGGCCAGCTCCTAATTCAATTTGGAGCCGAAGAGGATGGATTTCAGCTGCTACATTCTTTCCCAGCCCCGACCCACCCTCCTCTCTCACCCAGAAGCCGCCACACAGATCCAACAGCAGATAGATTCTTTATGTTCCAGACAGCAAATTCAGGTACAAAAGCCCACCGCCATCATCCCTCCCTCCTGCCCCTTCGGTCTGGGGCTGAGCTGAGGGAGACATGAGGGGGGCCGGGGAGGGAGGGAGTTTGGGAGGGTTTCACAGCAGACTAGTGTTTCAAATGCGGAGGTAACAGACTCCACAGTGAGGGGGCTCCTCTGGGGAGATGGGGGGTGGTGGAAGAGGAGGGTATTATTGCATTTGCTGAGGGGGGACACACAGCCCCCTCCTGCATTCCCTGCATCAGGAAACTAGGGAGGTCACAACCCCCAAACAGAACCCGAGGCCCCAGGGAGATAGGAGGGACCAGTTTGGCAGCTGAGGCGGAAAGTACTGGGGGCGGGGAGGGGGGGTGGCCACCCAATCTGGTTGGTCCCTCTCCGCCGCTGTGCCTGACCCTGGCTGAGGTAGGTGGGGAGGAGGGCGGGGGTGGGGTGGGGGCGGGGAGGGACTTAGGCTCTGCTGGAACACTCACCAGATCCTCTACTGTGGCTGGACCCCGGGATCGGAGCCGGAGGGTCCCTCGGCCAGTGCCCAGCTGGGGACCCGAGCCAGGGCGGCCACCCCCTGAACGCACGCTGATCATGTCTGTGGGAGGTAGGGGGAGGGGTGAGGACTGGAGGAGCCCAGTTCCAGCATGTTCTGGGCAGAAACCCAGACATCCAGTGTCCCTGATTCCCATGTAACTTTCCAACAGGTCATCCACCTTCTCAATGGCCTTCTCCTCAAAGGCTGAAGGCTGGGGGCAGGAAGAGGGATGGCGACATTATAATAATGTGAATATACCTGTAATTATACTGAGCGCTGGGTGCAATTTTTTTTTTAACCACTTTTGATATAGAAACCTATGGTTCTTCCTCATGACAACCCCAAAAGTGGCAGTATTATTAGCCCCATTTCACAGATTAGGAAACTGAGGTCCACTTGCCCAGGGTAGGTCCCAGAGCTGGGAGGTGGTAGAGGTGGATGGACATCTAGTGCCCAGAGGCCCTCAGCTAAGAGTGATGCTGCCACCTATAAATTTCACAGGGAAGTGGTGGGGGCGGGGGTGGGGTGGGGGCGGGGAGGGACTTAGGCTCTGCTGGAACACTCACCAGATCCTCTACTGTGGCTGGACCCCGGGATCGGAGCCGGAGGGTCCCTCGGCCAGTGCCCAGCTGGGGACCCGAGCCAGGGCGGCCACCCCCTGAACGCACGCTGATCATGTCTGTGGGAGGTAGGGGGAGGGGTGAGGACTGGAGGAGCCCAGTTCCAGCATGTTCTGGGCAGAAACCCAGACATCCCGGCCTCAGACCACCCTCTACCTTCTCCAAGCTTCTGTAGGCTTTGGGGGCGTTGTGGGCTGAGATGACCCCAGGAGGGTAGGTCTCCTGACTCTGGCTTGGCCGGGGTGTAGGAGGCGCAGCCAGGGGCTAGGTATGGAAAAGGGCTGGGAGGCTGGAGGGGACCACTCCTGTCCTGGGGGCTGGAGGGACAGGAAGGGGATGGGTCCTGGGTCTCCAGCTAGTTTCCCCAAGGCCAAGGGGGTTTAGCTGCTGGGTAGCAGACCAGCCCTATCTGCCTGGGGAAGTGTTTTAGAGTCCCCCACCCCCAAGCCAGGGACCTTGAGCCCATTCCTGAGAGTTAATGAAGCTGGACAAAAAAGTAGGCGGGCTTGCACAGGGCAGCCAAGCCTGGCTTCTTGGGGCTAGGGGGTTGGCCAGGTTGGGGGCGCTTGGCTAGGCTAATGGCTCCTGGAAGCTTGGTGTGGGGGCAACTTCCTCCTTGCCTCCATCCTCCTCCTGAGCTGGGCAGTGAGCCAACATCCTCTCCCCGCAGAAGGGTGGGGCTGCCCCACCCCCTTTCCCACCAGCTGGGCTTGGGCACCACCTACTGGTGGTCCTTGGTACTACAGGCGGGAGCGCGGTGAGGGGTTGGGGGGGTGGGTAGGCGGCAGCCCCTCACCAAAGGCTTTTCGAGGCTCTGTGAGCTTCAGTGTGAAGGTGCGGCCTCGTGGCAGCTCCTTGAGCAGCCGGGCCACCTCGTAGTGCCGGCAGCCCAGCAGGCTCTGTCCGTTGATGGCCTCGATCATGTCACCCACACTGATGAGCTGGATGTGGTCAATCACGCTGCCCTCCTTAATGCGCTGTGGGGATAGGAGCTGTAAGCCCCTGTGGCTCCACCCTTGGGTCCTACCGTCATAGGCTAGGCCTTACCCTTGAGACCCTGGGTGCCCCACCCCCAGGTACCTTGATGAAGGCATAGCCAGCCCCATTGTCTGTGATGGTGAGCCCCAACGCCTCCTCCGACTTGAACACCTCCACTTCCTTGCGCTGCCCCTTGACATGGGCAAAGATGAAGTCCTCCAGCCCTATCTGCCCCCCCAGGAGCTTGTCCATGTCCACTTTGTGGGTGTTGAGGGTGCAGAACATCACCTGCAGGAGTGGGAGACATTCAACCCTCACCTCTCTCCCATGCCCTTTGCCAACTGCTACCTGAGGGAGAAGAAAGGAGCGCTGGGAAGGGCCTGGAGGTATCCTTCCCTGTGCTTGACCACCCCGGAGCCCAGTCAAGGCCCCCACTAGGATGTCAGCTCTGCTAGGGCTGGGTTTCTGTCCTAGAAAAAACTCCCTACTGGTTCCAGGGCATAGAGCCTGGCATGCAGTGGGTGATCAGAAAATGCTTTTGGAATGAATGAAGGGGCACAGATACACATTCTGCCTACTGAGACCCCTGCATCTACTTCCTGCATGATCCCACTGTCACCCTCCTTGCTTCCTCCATTCCTTTGGCCCCTGAAATCCTTGGGGTTGGACCTCCCAATGAATCATAGAGAGGTGAATCTTGCATCTGACCTCCGGCTCCCACAATCCGCTGGGCTACAAATCCCTCAATGTAAGATGGGAATGTAGCATCCAGCCCTGGCTGTCCATTCCCACAATCCACTGGGGCTGAGGCCTCCCAGGGCTGATGGGAGCTCAGCACCCAGTTCTGGTCTCCAGTTACCCACAATACACTGGGCTGCAGGTCCCGTAATGCATGCCTGACTGGAACTCAGCATCCAGCTGTGGCCACCGGCCCCCATAATCCACTAGGGTACAGGCCTCACAATGCCTGGTGGAAATGCTACATCCGCCTATGGCCTCCAGATTGCCACAAAGCAATGGGGTGCAGGCCTCCCAATGCCTGATGAAACTTAGCATCCAGCCCTGCCTACAGTTCCCCATAATTCACTGGGGTAAAGCCTCAGTATTTGCAGCTTTAGCACCTGAGCCATAGCTCACAAACAGGATGCACGCTCCGGCCTCTTTCTAGCTCACCATCAGGGAACCCCGGTGCCCGGCTCCCCAGTGGGTACCTCGGCAGCTGGCAGCCGGAAAGCCTCGGCAATCTTGCCATACAGCTCCTTGACGTTGGTGAATCCCTCGATGCGGCCAGTGGGACTGCCATGGGCCAACTGGGTGTGGAACACGAGGCGGGGCCGCAGGGCGGGGGGCGGAGGGGGCAAGCCCATCTGGGGCCCCCCTGCCCCGCCTCCGCCCAGGGGCCCCGGCTCCCCCACACCCAGCCCACCACGGCCTGGCTCAGCCTCCTCATTTTCCACCAGAGGTGGTGCCTTTTTCCGCCGCCCCAGTCCTAGTGGCATGAGCAGTGAGAAGAGGGGGCACACCCAGGAAATCTGCAGGACAAGAAAAGGTGCTCAGGGCCTGGGTTGTAGCCTCAGGCCGCCTTGCCCCTACAGGCCCAATGAAATTATTCACAGAACAGGCTGGCCTCAGTTCAAAACTGGGTCCCAGTTCAGAGCCAGGCAATCACCCAGCCAGATGACTGGCCAAAGGGAACCTGGAAAAAATGCCTCATATAAGTGATTCAAACTACCACGAGGGCATGACACTCTAAGTCCCTCATGTGTGCCTATTCACATTTTTTCCTCCTAATAAACACTTTGTTTCACTTAAAAAAAAAAAAAACCACCTGGTCCTAGCACTTACACACCTGCATGGAAATAATAATATCAGCTAAGTGATTCAAACTACCACGAGGGCATGACACTCTAAGTCCCTCATGTGTGCCTATTCACATTTTTTCCTCCTAATAAACACTTTGTTTCACTTAAAAAAAAAAAAAACCACCTGGTCCTAGCACTTACACACCTGCATGGAAATAATAATATCAGCTAATACCTACCATAACTGCTAACTGCTCTGTGATCTTACTTTATCCTCACATCACATCATGGAGACCATATTATTGTCCCAATGTGATTACATGATGTACCATAATATGTGATTATGCCCGTTTAATAGATGAGAAAATAGAGGCTCACAGCCTACGTTTCTCTATTTTTCGATTGTTTGCAGTCATTAGTGCTGTGGACAAAAAATTTCTGACTCTTCTCTTTCAAAGTATGTAAGCAGATGGCATTCCTGGCCTCTTTATGACTGGGTAAGCATATGAACAGTTCTGGACAATTGAGTTGTGAGAGGAAGTGACACATGACATTTCTGGGCTGAAGCATTTAATTACTGGAGCAAGAACCTCCACAGACCTAATTTTCCTGGTAGGGTGACCAGCCACATTTGACGTGGTGGCTACCCCGTCAGGGCAGGCTCTGAGTGATTACAGTGAATGAAACCCCCCAGCTGAGCTGCAGTGGGCATGTAGCAGGAACAAAAAATAAACCACTATAGAGTATGACTGCTAAGATTCTGGGTGATGTTTGTTACTGCAGCAAAACCTATCCTGACTGATACACTTTTTTTCTTTCTTCTCCCTCCACTCTATTTCTCTCTCTCTCGTCCTCCCTCCCTCCCTTCAAACAAATATGTTTCGGGCACTAACCATATTCCATGCACCATTGTAGATATTGCCTTCAATAAGATAAGCAAGGTCCCACATTTCCTTACCCAGAGTAAATAAGGAGCCTGTGATGAAAGGTTGATGGATGAAGAAAACAATCTTATATGGATAAATTCTAAGCGTTTACAAGTACACATACATATGTATGTATGTGTGTGTGTGTATATATATATATATACCATGGGTGTATGTGTTTAAGTGGATACATGCATGTGTGTGTGGTGTATACTTTTTAAAAACTTTAATTAGGAAATTCCCTGGCAGTCCAGTGGTTAAGACCCAGCATGGGTTCAATCCCTGGTTGGGTAACTAAGATCCCACAAGCATGTAGGGCAGTAAAAGAAAAAAGCTTTATTTAATTATAATTCAAAGCTGTAATTAATAATTTCATAAAAGTTTGCTAAATAGTATACCTGTGAAGGTAAGATAAAATCTCTGTGAATAACTCAAGCACATTACTGAACCACTGAGCAAAATGTATGCTGCAAATATTAAAATAACTTCAATTATTTAAAAAAAAATGATAATCTGAAGGTCCCTGACTAGGGCCATCATGAGCAGTTACACAGGTTGTTCACTGTGCAAAAGCACCAGACTCAGGGCTGCATTTTTCGAATTCACTCCTAGTTGCTGCGGAGGTTAGCTAGCTGGGGCTCTGTCCATGCTGTCCAGAAGCACACAGTTCAGAGAAGATGTACAGTGAGCAAGCAAATGTGTAAATATTCTATATAATTTCTAAGAGAGCTATAAAGACAATAAAACAAGCTTTACAGACAAGGTCACAGAGGACCTGCCTCTCTGAGGAGGCGAAGCTGAGACTTGAAAGACAGGAGGAAATATTCATAGGAGGATATGAGGCAAGAACATTCAGGCAGAGAGAACAGCTAGTGCAAAGGCCCTGAGGTGGGGATTTACTTGACATGTTTGAGGATCAGCAAGGAGGCCTGTGTGGTTGGATCCCCAAATAAGAGGGACAGTGGGAAAAGGTGAGGGCAGAGACGTAAAAGGCAGAGACATTACTTTGATGACAAAGGTCTGTCTACTCAAAGTTATGGTTTTTCCAGTAGTCATGTATGGATGTGAGAGTTGGACTATAAAGAAAGCTGAGCACCAAAGAATTGATGCTTTTGGTGGTGCTGAGAAGACTCTTGAGAGTCCGTTGGACAGCAAGGAGATCAAACCAGTCAATCCTAAAGGGAATCAGTCCTGAATATTCACTGGAAGGACTGATGCTGAAACTGAAACTCCAATACTTTGGCCACCTGATGTGAGGAACTGACTCATTGGAAAAGACCCTGATGCTGGGAAAGACTGAAGGCAGGAGGAGAAGGGGACGACAGAGGATGAGATGGATAGATGGCATCACCGACTCGATGGACATGAGTTTTAGCAAGCTCTGGGAGCTGGTGATGGACAGGGAAGCCTGGCGTGCTGCAGTCCATGGGGTTGCAAAGAGTTGGACATGACTGAGCGACTGAACTGAACTGAACTGAGAGAGGTAACAGGCAGACTGTGCAGGGCCCTGTGGGCCAGAGGCAGAACTTGAGCTTTTGATCTGAGTGAAATGGCAGTCATGGGAGATTCTGAGCAGATTCACAATTAAGCTAGAGACCAGTGTGGCTAGAGTGGAGTGAGCAATGGGAGAATACGAAGAGGGCAGGTAAAAGAGGTGATGGAGGGGGACTTCCCTGGTGGTGGCCCAGTGACTAAGACTTCATGCTCCCAACGCAGGGGGCCCAGGATCAATCCCCAGTCAGGCAAATAGATCCCACAAGCAGCAACTAAGAGTTTGCATGCCGAAACTAGAGAGCCTGAGTGCTGCAACTAAGACCTGGTGCAGCCTAACGAATAAATACTAAAAAAGAAAGAAAGAAAAAAAATAGAAGCAATGGAGGTCAACTGTATAGGCCTTTATAGACTAGGAAAGAGAGTTCATGTTTAAGTCACATGTCCAAAGTCACAGAAATTGGCCCCAACCCTCAGGTCTGACTCCCAAGCCCAAGTTCATCACAGTGATGCTCTCCCCTAGGTGACTCAACCTCCCTGGGCCTCAGATGCCTGACCTGTAAATGGGGACATTCCATCCACCTGGCCAGGTTGTGGTAAGGATCAGATTATGCCAAATTATATTTTTGTATGTAAGGGGGACTTCTTGCTCCCTCCTTTCAGATCACCTCTTCCCTAGGGCTGTCCTGGATTCAGTAGAGCCCCTGAGCTAGACCCATTTTCATTCATTCATCTGTTCTCCAACACCTCCTCTAACATCACCTGGTTCAGTCCCATCAACACTCAGCGAGAGCTTCTCAGGTGGCTCAGTGGTAAAGAGTTCCCCTGCCAATGCAGGATACATGGGTTTGATCCCTGGGCTCAGAAGATCCCACATGCCATGGAGCAACTCAGCCCATGTGTCATAACTACTAAGCCCATGCATCACAACTACTGAAGCCCACATGTCCTAGAGCCCATGTTCCGCAACAGAAAACACTGCAATGAGAAGCCTGTGCACTACAACTAGAGAAGGCCCCAGTGCAGCAATGAAGACCCAGAGTGACCATAAATAAATAAATCTTAAAAACAAAAACAACTCACCTAGACGACTGTAGCTGCCTTTTCTGAGTCTCCCAGCTTCCGCCCTTGCCTCCCAGTGCTTAATACAGCAGCCAGAGTGATCCTGTAAAACATAAGTCAGGTCACATTTGTCCACGCTCCAACCCCTCCCAGGGCTCCTATCTCACTTGGAGTAAAAGTCAATGTCCTACCCTTGGCCCATGGGCCCCAAATGACCAGCCCATATCACACATATGCCCTCATCTCCTGCCTCTGTCCCCTCGTTCATTCCCTGCAGATACAATGGCCTCCTCCTTGTTCTTTCAACACACTGGATGAAGTTCAACCTCAGGGCCTTTGCACTGGCTGTGCCCTCTGGTAGCTACACAACTCACTCTCTTACCTCTTTCAGGTGGAAACCATACTTCATTCATTTAGCTTGTTCATTGTCTGTTTGCCAAAAAGGGCAGGGAATTTTGCCTGTCTTACTCATTCCTCTATTCTTAGCTCAGAGAACAGGACCTGGCACAGGGCAGCCGCTTACTAAATACTGTGGAATTAATGAGTGGAGAATTAATGAATTAATGGATGGATTAATGGATCTAATATTCACCTGCCCACCAGTCTCTGTGCCCAGCTCTGGGGAGACAAAGAAGCACAGGCCGTAGCATCTGCCCTCAGTAGGATCTTGTCTCCCCAGCAACAGTATAAGTCCTACCTCTGGGGCCCCTTATTCCTTGCTTCCCAGCATAATTCTGGACACAAAGTAGGTGCTTCATCTAACCACAGAGACATTGAGATTTTGCCTTTTTCACTCCCCTTCTAATCAGTGATACTAAACAACCTTTAAAACATTTGAAACCATTTGGATTTGCCCTTTTGTAAACTGTCTACTTAAGTCTTTGCCCATTTTTAAAAACCACTTTTTTTTTTTTTTCTTGCCATGCCACGTGGCTCATGGGATCTTAGTTCCCTGACCAGAGACTGAATCCTGGCCCTCAACAGTGAATGAGCAGAGTCCTAATCACTGAACCACCAGGGAATTGTCTAAAACCACATGGTCTGTTTTTAATTGCAATGCCTAGTCTTTTTTCTTATTGATTTGTGGGAACTCTATATATTCTAGATACTAGAAACAAAACACATTCTGAATGAATAAACCAGTACTGCTCTGTCAAGTTATTTCACTATACTCACTTAATGATGCTACCAAAAACAACAAAACCCCCCACATCATCACCTCCCCAGGCTCCCCTCCTACCACTCCCCATACATCTTAGCAGAATGCTAAGAACATAAATATTAAACCTGGATTCACCACTTATTAGTTGTGCAACCTTGGGCAAATGTCTTAACCTTTCTGAGTTCCAAAGAAATCATACATGTGTTTGGAACAGTTGCTGGCACACAATAAGGGTTCCACAAATGCTGGTGACAATTACTACTATTTCTATCTGTATCATCTCTAGTCAGCTTCCAAGATTCAAACTCCCTCCTTTATCTAGGGACCCCACATCCTGCTCACCAACTCCCAACTTCCTTACTCTGCCTACACTTGATGCCCTGGTTCAGGCTGGCTTCATGTCTTACCCAGGACAGGGAAATAATGGTGGTAAGGAAAGTGGGTGGTTTATGAATTTGTTTTCCAGGCCAGAAGAGGCAGAGTGGCCTGGGTTCAAATCCCACCCCTGTCACTTACCAGCTGAGTGGCTGTGGGCAAGTCACTTCACTTGACGGGGCTTCAGTTTCCTCATCTGAAAAATGGGCAGAATTCCTGTCTCTCAGAGTGCTTACGGGAATCCAAAGAGTTTATGCAAGTAACTCAATTAGCACTTTGCCTGACATTTGATTTAAGAAAGTTATTATTACTCTCACTGTTATTACTGCCTCTTCCCTTGCCCTGCCCAGAAACATCCCAGTCCTCTCTGGCTGTCAAGGCCTACTCCAGGCCACCTCCTCCAAGCAGCCTTCCCGGCTTGTCCCTGCCTGTTACAACCACCCCTGTGGTCCAGACAACTCAGGCCCGTGGATTTAATTACATGCTGTTCTGGCAGAACTCTTGTCTTCCAGTCTTAGGCTGTTATTTAATTTTATGTCTCTATTTTAAAACATAAACCAGATTGTGTTGCTCCCCAGCCTCAAATCTTACTTCAATTTCCCATGTGATGGAAGAAAAGCTCTAAACTCCTTAATGTGACCCACAGATCCCCACAGAGTCACACCCTGGGTTCTCTCCTGCTCCAGCCATACCATGCCAAGCTTGGCCCAGCCTTAAAGCCTTTGCCTTGGCTGTGCCCCCTACCTGATCCTTACAAGGCCCGGCTTCTTTTTGTCATTCAGATCTTGGCTCCAAAGTTACCTCCTCTGAGATCCCCCTTTCTTACAGATTCTACCATGCCACTCCCTCATATTTTATTCATAGCATTTATCAACCTCTGTAAGTGTTTTTCTTATTTACTTGTTATTAACAAATTGTTTGTTGCCTGCTTCCCCCCAGCAGAATGGCAGCTGCCCAAGAGCAGGGATTTCTGTTGTGGTCACTATTGTATCCTCTATGTCAGGAAGAGTACCTGGCCTGTGGTGGTGGTGATGGTGGTTTAGTTGCTAACTTGTGTCCAACTCATGCGACGGCCACCAGGCTCCTCTGTCCATGAGATTTCCAGGCAAGAATACTGGAGTGGGTTGCCATTTCCTTCTCCAGGGGATCTTCTCGACCCAGGGATCAAACCTGTGTCTCCTGCATTGGCAGAAGGATTCTTTACCACTGAGCCACCAGGGAAGCCCACCTGGCACATAGTAAATGCTTAATAAATATGTACAGAATGAACAAATAATGTGTCTTATGCCTGCATTCTGACTACTCTCCGAGCCCCCCTATCCTCAGAACATGCCTACTGTACAGCTTCAAGCTGCCACCTCCCCACCACACTCCCAGTCTCCCCTTAAACTTGAACACAGGTATGGAGAAAATGAGCTTCAGTTCAGCTCGTGGCACTGAGCAGGTTGGCTGGAATCCCACATCCCTACCCTCTCTTCACTGGGAAGGGCCCGGACTTAACAAGCCTACAGCCACACAGAGTTGCAATAGGAGGAGCAGGAAATGGGGAAGGGGGTTCCTGAGAGCTCACGCAAGCTAGGGGAGGGAACACCACGCCCATGCTCTCCTTTTCGGCAGTTACTGCTTGGAAGGGGAGGGCGGGAGGCCTCTGAATCAGTCTTGAAAAACCGGCTCATGGGTGTTCCCAGGGAGAATGCCTACTATCTGGGGCCCAGGCCTTCTGGGGGGCCCAGCAGCCACAGGACCCTGGTGGCTCCTTGCCACCCACCTATCTCTCCCACAGATGTCACTCTCTTCTCAGGACCCAGTATTCTGGCCTTGCTTTTCCAGCTTTGGGGAAAAGGGATATGGGGGCAGCTTCCTGTCTGAGCAGCTGGTGAAAGCAACGACCAGCAGGTGTGCCCCAGACCGTGTGTGTGGTTGGAGGGAATGGAGTGGGAGGAGCTCGTCAGGAACACCTGAGCCCTGAAGCCACTGGATACCTAGTCTAGTGGCGGAGATTCCAGTTCTGGACTCTGAGGCATGGGTTTGAGTCCCACATCTGCCACTTACTCGCTGTGTGACCTTAGGCAAGACACTCCACCTCTCTGGGCCTGCTGCTTCACCTCTGAAAGAAGTAACAGCAACTTCCATGAGGGGTGATTCAATGATCCGCATGGTAAATACCTGACACGGAAGTGTTCAATGAATGCTAGCCCGGGTGATTTTTTTCATTATTACAATCGGGACCTCGGTTCTCCCAAGGCGCACCCCACCCCCTCCCCAGGCCCTGGACGATTGGGACAAGGCCAGCTTCTGGGACAAGGCCAGCTTCGGGGACTTGCCCGAAATACCTACCCTGCGCCTGTCCCTGCCAGGACGGGAACTCTCCAGAGGTGCAGGGGGCTGGGGTGCGGCTGGAGATGCCATCCCGGCGCCGGGAGGCGCTCACCCCTGCCCCTAGAGGGAAGGCAGGCGGTCCTCGGGGAAGGGGACTCAGAGATTTCCCCCCGCCCCGCCCCTCCACCCCGCTCTGCCTAGACCTCCAGCCGCGTCCGAGGGGCCGGCCCCACCCGGCAGGATCGGCCGAATCCCCGCGGGTCCGCGATCTCGCAGGTCTGCTCCGGGGTCCCCGCGAGCGGCCGCGATGTACCCCCCAGCCCCGCCGCGCCTCGCAGGGTATACTCACCTGCGCCTCCTTAGCCGCCGCCCGGCTCGCCCAGCTCGGCCCTCCGCAAACTCTGGCCCGGGCCTCTCCCGCAGCCACCGCCAGGGGGCGGGGCCGGCACCGCATCTGGCCAATCAGAAGCGGCCGCTCGGCGCTCGCGGCCAATCCACTCCACGCCGCCCCGCTTCGGGTGGAACCCGAAGGAAACATTCCAGAGGGATCCCTGAGCTTCACTCGATTCTTCACCACACCCCCCCGCGCCGCGGAGCGTTGGACTTTCCCGCCCCTCCTAAGCCGCGGCGAGCTGTACCACCGCGAGGCTGCGGAAGGGGGAGCTGAGGCCGAGCCTGAGCCAATCTCTGGGAGGAAGGAGGCCAGCGGCCAATGGGAAGCTGGGCCCCTGGACCACGTGTTCTTGGCTAAGTGTCCGTGTGGGGTGCTGTGGGTGCTAAGAGGCGGGGGACTAGTCGTGGAAGTCAGGTGACCGATACTGAGTTTGGGGGTGGGGGGGAAAGGATACAAACTTCCAAAGTCCAGAAAAGGGAACCCTTTAGGACACTCGGAGGGAGCCAAAGGCGATCCCTAATTCAGTCCTCCACTCGGCCTGCCGATGACCCAGCTTGGCCATCCTCAGGGCGGATAAAAAGATGTATTCATTCTGGGCGGGTGGGCGGGGGACTGAGATGAATAGGGAGGGTCCCGCGTGTCCGGCGTCCTGGATGGACAATGGACAAGGGCATTCATTCATTCATTTACTCATCAAATATTTAAGTCGCTCCTGCTCCGTGCCAGGCTCTGTCCTATCTCAACAGATACGTCTACGAGTAAGCTGAATGAATGTTCTCTTGGTAAAGGGAACAGGCTAGGAGGGCGGACAGAGAGATACAATACTCTTTAGGAGAGTACAATAGCGAAGGAGCTTGCAACGCAGCTAGCAAAGCATCTTTAGGTTGCAGTGGAACGAAAGACAAAGGCAAAACGGTCTGTTCGCTTGCTGGTTGACCAGCGAATATTTATTGAGCACATATTATGTGCTAGATTACAAAGGATACCCAGCCAAGCCAAGTCTCAGCCCTCAGGGAGCTGACATTCACGAGTCTGTCTCCTTCATCTCTGTTGCCCCTCCGTCCCCCACCCTCCGGTCCTGAGAATGGCACAGAGCAGTGTTTCAGTATACATATGTGGATGAAAGAACTAGGTAATCTCACCATCTCCAGATTTGGCTTGTAACTGGGATTTCTCAGGCAGACACAGGTACAAGAAACAAAGACACAAATGTACCTTTCCCAGGCCAGGACAAACCTAGACAGCATATTAAAAAAAAAAAAGCAGAGACTGTATAGTCAAAGCTGTGGTTTTTCTGGTTGTCATATAGAGATGTGAAAGCTGGACCATAAAGAAGACTGAATAAGTGATGGTTTCGAACTGTGGTACTGGAGAAGACTCTTGAGAGTCTGTTGAACGGCAAGGAGATCAAATCAGTCAATTCTAAAGGAAATCAACCCTGAATACTCATTCCAAGGACTGATACTGAAGCTCCACTTTGACCACCTGATGCAAACAGCTGATTCACTGGAAAAGACCCTGATGCTGGGGAAGACTGAGGGCAGGAGAAGGGGGTGACAGAACATGAGATGGTTGGATGGCGTCACCAATTCAGTGGACATGATTTTGATGATCTCACTATTGGGAGATAGTAAAGGACAGGGAAGCCTGGCATGCTGCAGTTCATGGGGTTGCAAGGAGTCAGCTACAACAGGCCAGGACAGTCAGTTCCCAGGACAGATGAGATTTCTTTGTTCTAGAAACAACCCAGCCACTCGGACAGCTGGGGCCAGATCAGGGATTCACTGTGTGTTCTGGGAGTTGTAGTTAGTTCTTGGAGACTTCAACTGTTCAAGCCTCATGGAATAATTGAGTCTTTGCAGTTCCCTGGGTGAGGTGAGTTGCTGCACATTCCAGCTGGGTTAGGGCCTGCAGAGTGATAAAGTGAAGGAGAGAGTGGGCCCTGGGCTGTTGCTGAGGGCTGCCCGGCCAGCCCCACCCAGCTGGCAAATACTGAAACTGCTGTGGCAGCAGGCACAGCTATTGTCCTTCTCTTCCTGTTCTGCTGACCTCTGCCACCCCCACTGAGCTATCGATTGCCTCTGGCTAGGCCAGTGCCCTCTGTGGGAATGTGTCCACTGTGCTGCTTGTGTCTGACATCTGAGCTGCTTCCTTCTACACAGCTGGAGAGATGGTATGTGAGACATGGGGACAACAGAGTCCTGAGTGGAATCCACCTGAAGCCACCTGTTGACTGATGAGGAGGTGCCCAGGGAGGGGTGAGCAGGTTGCCCAAGGGCACAGAGCAACACTGGGTATCTCCTTCCTTCTTGATTTTATGGCTCAAGAGGTTGGGAGGCCCAGCTGGCGAGGAGCTCAGTTTTTTTTTTTTTTAATATTTATTTTAAATCGGAGGATAATTGCTTTACAATGTTGTGTTGGTGTCTGCTGTCCAACAGTCAGCTATAAGTATACATATATCCTCTCCCTCTGAGCCTCCTCCCACCCATCCGCATCCCACCCGTCGAGGTCGTCACAGAACACTGAGCTGAGCTCCCTGTGCTATAAGCTGCTTCCCACTGGCTGTCTATTTTACACATGGTAGTGTATATGTGTCAGTGTTTCTCTCTCGATTCATCCCCCACGCCCCTATCAGGAGCTCAGATTTGAATGCTACCTCTACCCTTGTGTGTGGGGAGTTGGGGGTGGAGTTCTGGAATGCCAACTAATAGATGCAAAAGGAAAGATCAGGTTAGAAAAGCACCATTTGTCATCCACTAGAGGAATGATTGATTCAGACAGTGCTTTGTTAAATGGGGCAGTAGATATTCAGTGTCAAAGAACCAGCCCACATATCACTTGTTAATTTCAGTGGAGAAAAAGTTACCTTGGAAAAGGTGCAGTGGAGAAAGCTGGAAGTCACTACCTTAACCAAGTGATAAAAAGGTATGACCACTGAGAGAATAGGCTGTCCTCACTGTTACTGCTGTGACGTATTCCTCAGGAAGACACATCACCTTCGAAGAACCTGGTCCTGCCCGAAGTGTTTAATCTGAATTTGATGGTTGTTGTTCAGTCGCTCAGTTGTGTCCGACTCTTTGCAACCTCTGGACTGCAGCATGCCAGGCTTCCCTGTCCTTCACCTTCTCCCAGAGTTTGCTCAAATTAATTACTAGGAAAAAAAAAACCAAAAAAAACAACAACAACAGACACAACCTGATGGAGGGACATTCTTTAAAAAACAAAAACAAAATGGTCTGGACTCTTCAAACAGATCCATGTCATGAAAGGCAAATTCAATCCATTAATTAAATGAATAAATGACTGGTAAATGGTTCTAGGTTGAAGGAGACAAAAGATAGAAGACAACTAAAATCAGTCTTTGATTCTTGATTGGATCCTTGTTAAAAATTTCAAAAAATGGTAAAAGAGTTAGGATGGATATTCTTGGGATAGTCTAGGATATTTGAATGTTGCCTGAATATTAGATAATAATACCTATGCATGTTAAATTTCCTAAGTGTGAGTGTTGTGTTGTGGTTACACAAGAGAATAGTCTTATTCTTAGGACATAAACACTGATTTGCTTGTGTGCTAAGTCACTTGGTGGCTCAAACAGTAAAGCATCTGCCTACAATGCGGGAGACCTGGGTTCAATCCCTGGGTGGGGAAGATCTCCTGGAGAAGGAAATGGCAACCCACTCCAGGAAAACCCATGGATGGAGAAGCCTGGTAGGCTACAGTCCATCGGGTCTCAAGGAGTCGGACATGACTGAGCGACTTCACTTTCACTTTCACTAAGTCGCTTCAGTCATGTCCAACTCTTCACGACCCCATGAACTGTGGCCTGCCAGGCTGCTCTGTCCATGGGATTCTCCAGGCAAGAATAGTGGAATGAATTTCCATGCCCTCCTCCAGGGGATCTTCCTGACCCAGGGATTGAAACTGGGTCTCTTTCATCTCCTGCATCGGCAGGCAGATTCTTTACTGCTAGCACCACCTGGGTGACACCACTGAATTACTAAGTGTTAAATTCATGATGCCTGCAACTTTCACATGGTTCAGAAAAAATTACACAAGTATAAAACATTTTATATACAATATTATAATATTGTATACATCCCTATGAACATATAGGGAGATAGAGAAAGCAAATATGACAAAATAATAACAATTGCTGCTGAATCCAGGAAAGTGGAATATGGGTATCACTTTACTATTCCTGTAAGTTTTCTAAGCTTTGAAATTTAAAAAAAAAAAGTATTTTTGGCTGCACTGGGTCTTGTTGCTGTGCGTGGGCTTTCTCTAATTATGGTATGTGGGGGCTACTCTGTTTGTGGTATTCAGGCTTCAGTCCATAGGGTTGCAAAGAGTCAGACATGACTGAACGAATAAGCAGAGCACAGCACAGGCTTCTCATTGCAGTGGCTTCTCTTGTTGTGGAGCATCGGCTATAGGGCTCACGGGCTTCAGTAGCTGTGGCTCGAGGGCTCTAGAGTACAGGCTTAGAGTTGTGGTCCCCGAGCTGGATCAGGGATCAAACTGTCATCCCTCGCATTGCAAGGCAGATTCTTAACCACTAGACCACTGGAAAGCCCTAGCTTTGAAATTTTTAAAATAAATACCTGAAACGAACACTCCTACTCCCCTCCCATCCCTAAAGGCAACCTTTCAATGGTTTTATAAATAAATAAATATTTTAGAAATAAACAACAACTCCTAAAACAGTAGGGCTACTTTCTGGAGGGACACTGGGCAGGTCTCCTTTCAAAATACATCTTCAGTCACTACCCACCAGTTCCTTGGCCCCCACCTGGTCCAGCCCCAACCAATTTCTCCCTGATCTCCCAGCTCCACCCTGGATCACCACCCCCATCTATTCCCCCCATGGCCTCCAGAGGGCACCTGTGAGCACCCAAGTTTGATCCTATTCTTCTGCTGCTGATGACCCCCACGCCAAGAGGCCATGTACCCTTGAAATACTTCAGTGAAATATTTCATCTGGAGTCAGGCCTAGCCACACTGATGTCCAGCATTATTTTCTCA